TACACTTCAACACAGATTTGCAGTGCATTCACTCAGATAAGCCAAGAATGAGGCCCTTCTTTTGCCTTCCCAGTTTCACATTCAGAAAACTTCATAGCATTTATTTTTATCAGGAAAGGAAAAGTACAGAGTTGTCAAGATGAAGGTCCACGAGCGAGTAGGCTTGGGAAATGGATTAAGAAACCATTCAATTCACTTAAGGCCTATATCGTGGCCTGCCCTTAACTCATTAGGCAGAAAAAATCAACACACTATTTCAGTGAATTGCTACGAAATCCTACGTTGGGTGACAAACTCTTATTTTCCTGTCCATCCCAAAGAGCAGTTACATGCCTGGGGCTCTCTTTCTCTCATTATTTCAAAGAGCCATGGGCAGAATTGCCAGAAAAGGGCTTCTTGAAGGAACTGGTTGCTCATCCCTTACAATATTTCCCAACACTGCCTGTACAAATGCACTGGTAAGGACTTCATTAGAGGGGAGGAATGACAGGGTGGGAGCCCAATGGAAAACCCAGCTGGGGCATGTCCTATTTCCTAGAAAAGTTCATAGCACACTCTTAAAATGACAGCCATGAAAAGCATCTGGAAATTACAAAGTCCAAGCATCAGCTTCAGAGGTGTCTTACAGACCTGAAGTCTATAGATACACAATCCTGATAAACAAAGAAATAACCTTTGAGTACTTCAGGGTTCAGCAAAGAAGGAAAGAAAAAGCAAAGTAATCCTTTAAGCAATTTCCTATTTGTAGTGCTCCTTTCAGCCCACAAAAGGCTAGTCAGATTGACATGAGGCTATTTTCAGAGCTGCAGACCCTCCACTCCCACATCAAAAGAAGCTGTCAAAAGAGCTGGCAAGAAAGGGTCAGCAATAACCCTAACGTGAACCATTTCAATTGGGCAGGCTCATCCAGAGTCAGAGCAGAAAAAACGAAGGGGGAGTGAGGGAAAGAAGATCAATCCATGTACTGTAGATGACCTCTTGAACAAGTAAGGCGGGGGAGACTGGTGGCTTGATATCAGGACACACAGATAGGTTTGAGAGCTTGGCTCTGAGGCTGGGTGAGAACTGAGTGCACTTGCACTGTTAGTTAGAAGGGATCAGGGTCTGTGGGAGGTAGAAGAGGATGCCAGGCAGCAGCAGGGACAGAAACAATGGAGACAGGAAGAAGTATGAGAAGACATACCACTACTGATCCACTTCCATCTCCTCTCCAGCCTCCCAAACCTCCACTCCACTCTTCTCCTGCTTCCAGCACCTCCATCTCTTCTCCAGCTTCTGATACCTCCATCTGCTCCTCTCCTGCCTCTGACACCCTCATCTCATCTCCTGCCTCCAACACCTCCCTCTGTTTTTCTTTACTTGCCTGGCAACCTGCTTTTCCACCCTTTGGCAACTGCCATCACTATGACATAACACGGTTCCAAATGTTCCGCCATCAAATCACCTTACCAGCCCCCCGGGAGCCCACTAAGCGCTGGCAGATTTAGTTTTGCAGAGCTCATGATGCAGTTGTGAGGCACTAGAGAAGACTCACCCTTTCCCCAGGGATTTTTATGAGCTTTGTTTTCAACCCTGAACAACTTATTTGTCAGGGAGGGGACATGCCAGAGACCTTGCCTTGCCTGAGCCCTAGAGGGGTCAGGGATCTGGAAGCTCCCTGAAGCTAGTGAAATTGTAGATTACATCAAATTCTGACTTGGATCATGGCAGTTTATTTCAGGCATAGCATTAGAGGAGGTGAGAATTAGATTAGACTACCCCCCATGACTGCCCACTGATGCTCCCTTTTCCAGGTGCAGTGCAGTCCACATAGTACCCATACAAATCAAGCCTCTCTCTCACTTCCTGTTTTCCCACTTGACTTTCCTGCCAAGCCTTGATGCTACAGTGTGACCCAAGCAATAGTTACTCCTTCCCTTTCCTCCGCAATGTCCTTTAGGGTTTGTTATCCATCCTTGCTAGACATATTCCCATCCATTGTTTTGTCTCAGTCTCTATTGGGTCCTTTTCTGAACCAACCTAAGAATGAAAGAAGTGCTATACTGGGTCAAACCTTTTCCCAGATGTTCCTTTAGCTATAGTTACAATATAGAAGAAAAAGCACAACCAAATTTAGCACATAGCTTCAATCACAGGAAGTAGAAACCATTTTGGAAAAGCCAAAATGTTTTATTTTGACACCTTTTTGAAATTAAGTATTTCATTTTTTTGTTTCAAACCCACATTTAGCTAGAGTAAGATATTCAAATACCAGACCCACCACAAACAAAATGTTTCACATGAGCCAAATATGTTTTTTGAGGGATTCTGGTCACAAAACTGAAAAACAAATTATTTGGACAAGTCTAATAGCTAGATGTACCTTCCTACTGATAAACTGTATTGGGAAGATTTTGGTTATCAGATGGAAGTTACAAGCCTTCTCTGGTGGTATAACCAGAATACTGAATTAATCTTTTCAGGTAACTTCTATTAAACCATACTGCTGTACCACCAACAGTAGGTGCTGATAAACAAGACAGAATAGAATCAGACTTGCTCTTTCTTAGTAGTGCAACACTGAAAGTAAATACCAATTAGTCACTACAACAAACAGATGTATAACTTGGGAAGGTGATGTACAGCTGACCAACTATAACCATGCTGAATGGAGTGTTACAATTTTACTTGAGTTTTCTTACTGGGCCATACTGAAGTGCAGAGGAAGCCTCTTATCTTGAGTGTCCCTTATGGCTAGCTTAATGTATGTTTAAAGAATGTCACAGCAAAGTTTTAGAAATGTGGAGGTTTGCTCCCAACAGTTAGTTCTACATAACAATTCAGTGTTGGTGGTGTATCCTTTCAAAATAGCATTCCTAACAAGCAAGGAAACTCCAGAGTTAAAACGGTCACTATGGTTTTAACTACCTGGAGAATCCAATAAACAAACCATTCAATTTTTTTAAACAAGCCCCATGCAAGATACTTTGATAGCACCCAGAGTAGGAAGATGGGCAAAAGTAGCAGGTGATAACAAATATCTTAGCTTAGCTTCCTAGCTTCTACATAGCTCCTAAATACCTTTGGTTTTCTAGCTCCAGACACAGTGGCAAAACAGCCATGGCATCTCACTACAGAGGTGTGAGGTTAAAGTCTTAGTCCACACTTACAGTTCACTCAGCAGTAAATGGGTTCCTGGTCATTCTGACTGCGGAGTCCAAGGCAGCCAGACAGGATTGCTGACTACATCACTCCTGTGAATGGCCTGCAGACTGACTCCACACCACTCATCTAGGCCATAGATTGACCCTGTGAACTAGATCTGGGTTGCAGACTGACCCTATACCACTCGTCCAAGCTTACAGGGCCAGATGAGTTGGGCACCACTGGACTACATGAACTTTTGAGGTCTTTTCCATCCCTATTTTTCTATTATTCTATTCACAGTCGCACCCTATGTATTTACAGTCTGTATTTGCAGAAGCAAAGCAAAAAAAAAGTGCTTTTTGCCAAGACTTGTTGATCTGGACCCTACTCAGATGTGGCTAATCAGATGTGCCTGCCACAGTGGTCCATAAAAGCTTTCCTGGCACAGACCCTGCACCCCAATTTTCACAGCTGCAGATCAGCTGTAACAATGTGCTGCATGAATGTTAATAGGCACATATGCAAAAGTGCTACCCAAATAACAGACTCCAGAAGCATGTGATACAAACCAAAAAAACCCAGAAACCCACCACCCCCTGCCGTACTGCACAACGTATTGTGTGCTTTTGATGACATCTGCTTTCTGCCCATTAACTATAGTAGTCTGGAGATAGTGGGCTTTAAAATTATGACATTTAATCAGCTGATTTTGGTTATGTTAATGAGATCTAGACCTGTATAGATGCTAGCTTTCCATTTCATGAAGGATTTGGAGATTTCAACTCAGAATAAAAACATAACCTTTCAGAATTCTTAACAAATAAATACTAACCACTCTCCCCACAAACTCTTCTGGGTCAATCAAACTACTTTATTTTTTTTTATTTTTTTTTAATATAAACCAGAATTCAAAATTAAAAGAAGAAACAAAAAGTAATTTCCAAATGAAAAATCAAAATGTCTCATTATAAGGTTACTGAAACAGAACTTTCTGGCACGGTGGCAAGCGCCTCCCTCCCTCTGTGTTCTTTAGAAATAATATTCCAGCCAAATTGACCTTATTTTGGAAAAAGCTTTTTGAGTTTCATAAAATTACTTTGACCAGCTCTCAGGCTAACTACAGCCGAGGTAAGCAGCCTGGGGATGAGTATTAATAGATAGAGAAAATTGGAACACTGGTTTCTGATGTATGGCTACGCTCTTCTTATTTTATGCCCCTGTATTTCAAGGAGTACAGTGGAACATTTCACACCAGTGTCACAAGAAATGCAAGGTCATTTGAGTAAAAAATACTGACTTTTGTATTATTAATAACTATGCAAAAGATATTTTTCTGTAAGACACATGACATACACAGAGTGTGCAATGGTATGCAGAAGAAGCGCGTGGCTGAGGTGGCTGGCACTGGATGCAACCAGAAGCAAAGTTGATAAAAACATATGATCATATACTCTACACATTAAAAACTGTCAATACACTAAGAACAGGAACATTTCCAGTAGTAATACCTATCTGCCCACAATATTGTCCCGTGGGCAGGACAGGAGGTGAAGGGGTGCTGTAGCCACAGACAAGTAGAACGGATGGAATTGGGAGTAATGAGGGGAGAAGAACTCTGGATCAGGAATGCTGAATCCAAATCACACGTGTACTGGTGCGTTTAATGGCTAACTGCTTGGGAAAAAAGTATTGTGGCTATTGTAATGTGACTCTTTGCTGGGGTTATGCAGAAGCCATGTCATATCTATACACTAGGAAATTCAAGAACAGACACTGGCCTATCTTGTTTAGAAGGAGAGGGCTCCCCTAAACAATTCAAGCACATCTTTTGGAAAGGGCAGTCTACTCATTCCTAAGTCAAGTTTTAGTCTTACCCTTGATGTTTATTGCTGGCAATACGATAGACATCTTTGGCCTTCTAGTCTTATTATGGGTGGTGGCTGGCAGCAGTAGGTGATCCTGGAAAACATGAAATGACACGTTTCATTTGTACTAGAAGCACTGCACTGAGAAAATTCCTTTCCATTCTGTGTTACATGCATTGCATAAAAATCTATTTATGATGGCCTGGCATTTTCAAACTGTTCAAAGGAGGCTTCCAAAAGTTGTAGCAAACTTCCCATATTGTATAACCAGAAGAAATCCCTATCACATGTGGCAGCCTCTAAAAGAGCCTTGATCATCGCATGGAAGGGGATGAATAAATCTATTAGATGCTGGTTCACCACAGCCCTCATGTATGTGATTAAATTTAACTTGACTTCAGTGGGATTTAAGGATGCAGCTAGGGGCTCTGCTGGACTGGAACCTTTGTTTGCCAGTGTTGTTTGGTTTATATAATACTCATCTTGTTGTATCTAAGACAAGGCCTACAATGCAAACTTTTACCAGCATATACATACCAGTTTGGGATGTGATAAAGTGTGACAAGGCCTTCAGCTGTGCTGACTACTGCCCCCAGAACAGATAAGTTATACTGGCACAACAGCGCTCATGCCAGGATAACTAAGTTCACTAAGTGGGAGAAGGGGGCTACAGTAAGCTGTCTTTGTAGAGTGTTGTTTCATGTCTGTAAATGGTGTCCTCAGTAGAAGTGTTTGGCCAGTACAGTACAGCAAGGTGCTCCCAATGTGGACTTGGCCTAATAGGCAAGAAATGGTTTTCTTCTGCCTTTCTGATGAAAGCCAATGAAGTGAGACGCATTGGGTTTGCGGCCTAGGAAAAAGAAGTTATTTTCTTATTAACAGAACTGTTCAAACACAAGAGGCGGCTGCCCAAGCATCTCTGTTACTGCCTCACCATATCAACCTATGTGGACTCTAAGAACTGAAGAAGGGTTCAGCTCCAGTCCTCTTCAAAACTTGGCCTTCCTGCCAAAGTGCTAATGGTTGTAACAAACAGGTTATCAAACAGCTGTTAGGGAAGGAATTACTTTTAGTCATTTTTAGTATCCAAGTTTTTATTTGCTCTTTGTATATATTCATTTAGATTTCTAAACTGCCTCAGGCTCTAGACATTTTTATTAGTTTGAACTATAAAAAAAATTAAACTGACAATCACCAAACACTTTCTTCCACTTCCAAGGTACAAAATCACAGTTCTCCAGCTGTAATTAGCAACAAACATCTTGGGGGCCAATTCTTCTCAAAGTTACATCATTGTAAGCCCACAGATTTCATGGAACTGAGGAGCAAACCCAGCCTATTTGTAAAACTTCAGATAGACGGTAGAGAGACATGTAAAGAAGCTTTGTGATGTTCTTCATTACCAGACTGGCTTATGTGCCTTACCCTTTCAAAGACCCAGCTTTCATCCCCGAGTCTGACATTCTCTTCCTGTATCAGCTGTTATGCCTGAGTGATCCTGCAGTGATTCAAGCGACCCGAAGCAGATTTAAAGTTGGGGAGGATTTGTTACACTTCTAATCCTAAAGAACCATGCAGATGAAATAGCTACATCACTGGTATTCTTTCAGATCAATATAAATGTTATATTTATCTACAGCCTGAAATAGTAGGAAGAGCCAGAAATCAGGACTAAGGTTCATGCGCAGGGGCATTTTTCAGAAGTCCACATGTTGCTTCATGCAAGGCAGTGCTATTTGCCTCCCAATTTCATGAGGACTGTATTTACTTAATTTTTCTTTAAACAAATGCACACTTGTTCTGTATGAACTCCATAGTGCTGTAAGGGAGTTTTTGATATGAAGCTGTTAGATGAACCAATATGTTAGGTATTTTGCAAAACAATACACTTTGTGCTTTTTCAGCAATGAAAAATAAAACAGATTACTGTCCACGATAATACAAAACAACCTCATTAAATAACTTGATTGAAAAACAACCCTGGCTCTGAAACCACAGCAACAATCATGCTGGCGCTAAATACTAAAAACCCAACATTTAAGTGTTGTTGAAGTTATGACAAAGCTCAGTGAAGGACATCAACTTCACAGAAAAAGATACTATGAAAATCAACACAAAATATGTCCCGAGGGAATTACTTAATGATAAGATCAATGTTAGGTTTCATTCCCTAGCAGGGAATCTGAAGACTGTTTTTAATGCTGGGGTTTTTTTCGTTTTTTTTTTTGGATTTTATGACCTTGATTTTTTTTTCCAAAGGAATTTTTCTTCTAAAGGTATAAATAAAATAGAGTATTTTTTACCAAACACTGGAGCTGCTTCTTACATGAATAATGAACTTGTTAACGATTAGCAGATTTAACTTTGTAATTATTACAGGATCTCTTTGATCAAAAACTTTAATGCCAGTGAAACAGCCAGCACTTTAACATGTTTTTGGTAGTATTCTTATTTAGAAAATGAGAGGAATTATCTATCTGAAAGCCACAATGCTGAAACAAAGCAGCAACATTACAAACGTACCAGATGACCATTCAGGACAGTAACAAAGCAAAACCCCATTTAAACTGTATGGCATTCATATAAATATTTGCTTCCTAAGATGCCTTTCTAAAAAAGGTACCAGTGCTGGAAAAGGCCCTGGTTAGGAAGGTTAGAACAAACACCTCTGAGCAGATACAGAGCAGACACTGTCAATGCCAGCTTCCCTGCAATGGTCCCTAGACAGCTATAGATGCCAGTGCAATCATCTCACACCTGCCTCACAAACTCCCCTCAGACCCCTCGTCACCGCTTAGCTGAAAGCCTTGGCTTTAATCTACAAGGCACTTAATAGATTCCAACCTAACAAACTTAGAGGTGATTTGTTTTCCATGACTGTCCAAACAGCCAAGTGACCCAGGACTGGTATAACTTGGACATATTCCGGTTCCATCAATCAGCCACAAAGAACATCGGTGTGGCCCTGGCAAAAGCATCATTTGCCAGAAGAGAATAACTTGTGCCTGCTAATCCAATGTTTCAGGGTTTCTGCTTGGTTGCCTGTAGGGGCCAGGAATTTCCTGGCTTTGTTCTTCTATTCAGAGTCACAGCAATTGCCAAATTTGGGGCCAGGAAGAAACACTTCTCTTACATCAGACTGGCAAGGACTTTTGGAGGGGAGTGGGGAGAGAGAGGGTTGCCTTCCACTAGTGTGGAACATGGTTCTTTCCTAATCATCTTCTGCACACATATTAGCAACTACTTCCCTGTCACTGTAGAGGCAGGGCATTAGTGGTGTCCTTGCCTCTCCTGTTTTTACCTATAGTATGTTATAGGATCCTCTAGGTGTTATGGGTATTGTACTTTGTAGTACATGCGAGGGTCTGAAGTGATGTCTTTACGTAGGCGGTGCCAACACATGCAGGCTTCTGGAACGGATGGCCCAGGAGGTCTCTTCCAGCCTATGTTCCTATGTCTAAATCTAGCATTCAGATCAAGGTGTACAACATAGCACTTCTGCTCAGTCTCTCTCAGAAGTTCATCTTTTACAAAAAATCAAGGAGTCCTCTCCTGCTGCCCCAGAAGAACAAAGAAAGACATCTTTTTTTCTGGACCACAGTTACAGCTACTACGTGATTAAAAGGACCATACAACAATTAGTCCCATTAACCAAAACCTGCAATGAGATGATGCAGACTCCTGGCTACTGGAAACCAGAATGAAACTCATTTCACACAGAATTACTGGAAAGCCTTCAGATGATGATTTTCTGTTGCTGCTGCATAGGGTCAGCATTGAGCTTTCAAATTAAAATTGAAAGGCATGAGGCTCCTGTGAGCAAAAAGACAAAGGCTAGCAACAGATGTTGGGTTTGTCCCAGGACAAGTTATGCCAATGTTTGTTCCAGCAGAGAAAATGTATACACATCATTCTTCCTATCAGGATTTAGCAAACAGCTGAATGCACTACTGTTTTCTACCATTGGTTCAAAAATGCAATCGCAGGACAACCATTCAGACGTACTTTGCATTATTCCAGGACAAACTGTTAGCACTTCTTATCTTTTTATGGGGTTGTCCAACAGACATGGATGTTTGAAAACCTGTACTTTATCCCAGGGTAAGACGATTTCTCCCAAGACAAATCATAGATGCGATATCTGTTTCTAGCTTAAATGGGCTGAGTTCTGGCCTGGGGTTCTTGCGGGGTACACTCTGGAGGACCCTGTGCACACACTTTGCTGCAGCATAGATAGTTTCACAGTAGTACTTCCAGAAGGCCCTTTTCACTGCAGGAGAAGACAACAGTCTGGGCCTAGCAGCAGGCCCCAGAGACTGCTCTCTGACTGGTTCCTGATAACACTATGTTTCATTTTATTGACTAATGTTAGTCTCCCCGTTAACTACCATAGCTTTGTTATACTTTGTTGCTAAAATGGCACATTGTGCCTGAGAAGAAGAAAAGGAGCCTTTGGAAGGAGTAGGAGGAGAGAAAGCCGGAGATCCAAGGAGGACAGGAGAACACAAGGAAGTGGCCAGACTGGTATTAGGGTGCTCAGAGGCTGTTTGGTGCTCTGCACATAAAGACTCTGGTTTGAAGTGGAGCTGTCTGCTGTACTATACGCGTGGTGTTGGCACTCAGATCTCCTCTCCCCTTCTTCTTCCCCCCGTTCCTCCCAGGACCTACGGCGAGGAGCTCTGAGTTGGAGTTGCCATGGATAAGTGGGGGAGCACCGTCTCCAAGCCAGAGGCTTGCCCCTCTAGATGCTATGCCAGGCCTGGCTGAAGGGGTTCTTCCAAGAGGATCACCAGGCATGGCTTTTTTTTTTGAGGAGGAAGGAAGAGATGTCCCAAGGCGCAGCTTCTCCTGAAAATCCGTGACAGCCCATTTTGTCATTTTGCTGGGTTAACAGTTCCTCCAAACAGCTAGACAGAACATGCCCACAAAATGGGAGACAAAACAATAATGCAGGGCACTATTATGTGAAAGAGCTGCTTCTGCTAACCAAAGCCAAGACCTTTAAATGGACTTCCTTTCCTATTCTGGGGTACAGAATGTCTCTAAAACGGCATTGGGCTTGGTTACGTGCTCATATGCCAATCCACAAGCTAG